AGTTTAAGACCCTTGACTTCGCCAAACTGAGCGAAGAAGCTCTCAAGGTCGAATTGGGTGTTAGGGGCCTCATCGCCAAAGCCCTTGACGTAAACGGTAGCGGCTTCGACCTTGGACTTGGAGGTGTTCATGGGCTGGTAGGGGGTCTTGCGCTTGACGACCTCCTCACCCTCCTCACCGGAAAGTTCAAGAAACTTGCTGTCCTTGAGAGCAGCGATGACGGCGCTGTAGGGCTGGAAAGTTCGCATACGCTTGAAGGAGTGGATAGTCTTGACCTTCATGGGCTTGTTTTCGCTTCCGCCGCATGACTCCCACATGAATTTGTCTTGAGGGAAGTTCCAATCGCCAAAGTAAAACTCGACCTACGGGAGTAAGTACATACGCGCGCGACAACGGGACATAGGTGAAGCTACACATACCTGCTTGCGGATGGCCTCAGGGTCATCAGTGACCTCACGGGTGGAAGGGTCGAATTTGCGGTTGTTGCGAGGGTTTGCATCATCATGTTTGGCTGTGGTTTTCAGAATCTCCCCCTTCTCTTCAGGCTTCTCTTCAGGCTTCTCTTCAGGCTTTTCTGTGGACTCCTCTGCCTTCTGCTCTGTCTTCTCTTCAACCTTCTCTTCTGTGGGCTGGGTGGTAGGAACCTCGGCCTCAGAGTGGACAGCCTCGACAGGCTTGGGGGCTTCAGCTTCGCTCATTGTGACTTTCGACCGTTATTTGATAATTGGGAACGATGCGCGATCGCGATTGTTTCACGGTCGCAGGCTAAGAAGTGTTGAGTGATAGAATAAAGAGGAAAGAAGCTAGAAGCGAGGTGAGAAAGGGTCGCGAAAACGTAAAAGATGGTGGCGGGGTTGAAAAAAAAAAAAGCGAGTCATCGGTGTGACTGTTGCCTATTCAATGAAGCTTACCTTGATAGAAAGGATTAACTCGAGGTTACACGATTGATGAGTTTTTGTTTGTATAAAACAGATTCAATTGAAGAAGAGTTAAAAAAATGCGATTGATTGATTCTGCCGGCGCGAGGAAAAAATCACCTTAAAAAAATCCATCGAAAGGCCCATCTCTCGCTAGCCTTAGCTTTGCGATTTCACCGCCCGCCTTTTTTGGCGTTTCCGTACTTCTGTGTCTCTCCCATTTCCCCCCCACCGCGGATGACCCCACTTTCCTGCCGTTCCCTCCATTAGGTTGTTTTAGTGAAGTAGTGCTGTGAGTGTTCTGTTTCCAATGGATAGATGATTAAGATGATGGAGAAGTCTACCAGAGTTTATCTTGTATCATGACGATGGCAACTTGAGATCAAACTCGTAATTCGACAAATGTATTATGAACTTGTCTATTTAAGAGCAAGTCTCCCAGCCGATCAAATCAGACCTAGCCTATGCAGCAATTCTTCGATCTGAGTTGTCAGGTTCTGTAACTGTATCAGAGCAGAGCAGATGATCTAGAGATCGAGTGACCATGACTTTCACCCAAAATCGAGTCACTCTACCACGATGAAACTTGGCAATAATTAAGCTCTTTTAAAAACGAGTGCATGGGTTGACCGTCAGCTGTAACCTGATTGGGCCTTGTCTTGTCTCCTTGGCTCGGAACCAAGCTTTTTGACCATCCAAGTTGAAAGCGGACCTGAAGATCCGTGGCACAGATAAAGTGAATGCCACATGCCGAACAGAGAGAAAACCTCCGAAGGGAACCGCAAAAGTTACAATTTTGATACAATAATCGGGAGTTTTCGATTCTCTTGGTTGATCCGTGGCATGATGCGGGAGAGCCCGTCTGCCCCCGACGTACTTGTGACCTCGACCGGGGATAGAGAAATACCTTGGAATGGTCGAGACTCATATTCAGCTCTCAAGTAGCCCTCTAGTTTTGCATTCGTAGACCCCACATCCCACTTTTGCAGGACGGAACTTGGGAATGACATCAGCCATCTTGAGCTATTCTCAACAAGTTGCGCAACGTACGGTAGTGTCATATAAAATCCCCGGCATCCAGGCACCAACTCCTTCGGATACCTGCCGAGGTATCTACCCAATCTCGCGGTTCAATCTACCATTTCGATTCTATACTCTCTTTCAAAGTTCTACCCCATCATTCCTCTATCTGTCTTGCGACAATGCACTGAGTTTGGGCTTGCAGCCACTGAAAGCATGTGCTGTGCGCTGTCAAATTATGACAATAAAATTCTCGACAAAACCCAATTGCACCCAGAACCATGAGACACTACCGCGGCTCTCTCAAGAGCCTCAATAGAGTCACTGCAAGACTCAATACCCACCAGCGGATCCCCCGACGAAGATTATCGCATCGTCAACACCGCCATCTCTGGACATCTCCATCCAAGAACGATGCCAAGCAAGAAGCACAGCAAAAATCTACGTTTCCAGTAGCAGTAATTACCGGCGGGCTTTTTATCTGGTGGCTCTACCCTTCTGACGACTTTGCACAGCTTTCCGGTAAACAACTAAGGCAGCGAACCCATGAGGACTCTCCAAAGGATGAGAAGCAAGACAAGACTCAGGATAGAGAATCAGATGCGGATCAGTCGGCCTGGATAAACTTTGCTCGCCGCTTCGAGACGTTCTGTAAGCTCAACGACGTTCAATTCTCTTCCTTCTCCGACAAGGTCGTTAGTTATCTCCTCCCTGAGTGGTCCAGACTTATCCCAGGCTATGTTCGGAAACTTCAGCATGAACTCTCCATGTCCCCCGGGTCTCTGGCCGACGAGATTTGGCAAGACGCCCACGACCCCCTAATCAATCCCGAGATTCGATATTCAGCCAAGGTTCGAGTTTCACCAAATCTTTGCGATGAGGAGAAGGAATTTTTGTCCCGACGAAAACGAGTCGCCAGAATAGGGCTGGCTAAATATCTCGGACTAAAGGAGGAGGATGTCCATCCAGATGATGTTCCAACAATTGCCATGTGCGGCTCTGGTGGAGGTCTGAGAGCACTCATTGCTGGAACTGGATCAATTCTTGCCACAGAAGAGGATGGGTTGTTTGACTGCGTCACATACACCTCGGGCGTGAGCGGCTCATGCTGGCTTCAAGCTTTGAGTCTCACATCGTTCAACAAGGGAAACATTCGTAACCTTCTCGAGCACCTCAAAGCTAGGGCCTCAACCCATATCGCCTACCCACCTGTGGCCTTCCAATCTCTTGCTTCTATGCCCACTAATAAATACCTCCTGAGTGGCATGGTCGAGAAGCTCAAGGGTGATCCCAAAGCAGATTTTGGCCTTGTTGACGTGTATGGTGTCTTACTGGCAGCTCGGTATCTTGTGCCGAAAGGAGACCTTGGGGTCAACGATCGCGACTTTAAGCTCTCAAACCAACGCCAATATGTCCAGTACGGGCAATTGCCAATGCCCATCTATACTGCTGTGAGACACGAGATTCCTGACTTGCCAGAGGCTGCTGAACAAGGCCCCATCGAAGCCGAGATCGCCAAAGAGAAAGCTAAGAAGGAGGCTTGGTTTCAGTGGTATGAGATCACTCCCTACGAATTCTTTTGTGAAGAGTTTGGCGCCGGAATCCCCACCTGGGCTCTAGGCCGCAGATTCAACCAGGGATGTGATGTTCCTCCTGAGGATGGCTTCCATCTTCCTGAACTTCGTTTGCCACTCCTCATGGGCATCTTTGGTAGCGCATTCTGTGCAACTCTCAGCCATTATTACCGAGAGATCAAGCCGCTTGTCCAGGGTCTGACTGGTTTTGGGACTATTGATGAACTCATCTCGACACGAGACGATGATTTGGTCAAAGTGCATCCTATTGATCCTGCCAAAATACCCAACTTTGCCTACGGAATGCACGGAAAATTACCGGAAACCACGCCGACCAGTATTTATGACAACGAGTATATTCAACTTATGGATGCTGGAATGTCCAACAACTTGCCTATCTACCCCCTCCTGCGACCGGGCAGAGATGTGGACGTACTTGTTGCCTTTGATGCCTCTGCAGACATCAAAACCGACAACTGGCTCTCAGTCGCCGATGGCTACGCCCGCCAACGCGGTGTCAAGGGTTGGCCCGTCGGCATTGGCTGGCCCAAGCCTGGAGAAGCTACATCCCAGGTCGTGGAAGAGCTAGATGAGGCACAAGCGAAATCCACTCGTGAAGCTGAGGCTAAACTCCGCGAAGCCAAAAAAGAGCAGGATGAGCTTCGCCAAGAAGCTCACGAAGAGGGCAAGCAAGTTATGGCAGAGAATGACAAGACCAAATTCGAGCCTGGGGATCAAGAGTCCGGCGATCTGGGCTACTGCACTGTCTGGGTTGGGACCAACACAGAACGCAGTACTGAGCCACCCCCTCCCTCAAAAGCAATCTCGGACGAGACATCTTGGCAACTCATGGAGCCCGATGCTGGCATTGCTGTTGTCTACTTGCCTTTTATTTCAAACGATAAGGTCCCTGGTATTTCTCCCGGAACTACCGATTACCTTAGTACATGGAACTTCATCTATACCCCCGAACAGATTGATAATGTCACTGCATTGGCTCGAGCAAACTATGACGAGGGAAAGCAGCAGATCCGAGATACCATCCGCGCAGTGTATCAGCGCAAAAAGAAGCTTCGCGAGGAAGCAGAAATGGCCCAACGTCAGGATCGTTATCGATCTCGTATGAGGAGAGGCGAAGGCACCCGTCTGGGCGAAGGCGATCATTTCAGTTGAGCCTGTGATTTCAACACCCCTGGCAGAATAATCATTTGACTTATAGAACCATGTATCTAGTATACCCGTGCAGGCGCCAGGGATGCAGTGTAATGTAAAAATTTGATTCTGATTCTGATTTTGTTGAGTTTTGTCATTGTGTTACATTGTATCTTACAGTGACGTTTCCCATCCCGATCCTCTAGGATCCTATGCTCCCATGTAATTTTTATACACAGCCCAACCGGGGCGAAAATTGCTCATTATCCACATGAAGAGCCGACGCCTGATACGCCGCTCTGAGTACATATATATCCAACACCACGACATTTCTGGTTTAGATGACCTCGCCAATATCGATATGAGGGGCCGTCCAGCGCTTAGCATCCGGCTCGTACATATCACTTGGTACCCGGACCTTGTTGCCGGGGCTGTAGAGGTACCACGCTTTGAGGGCGTTCATCGATGCCTTCCATCTGGCAACGTCGAGGCTAGGGCCTCCACCTTCACCAAGTTTCTCAGAACCACTGTAAATACCGACAATGAATACGGGAGTTCGTGAATGCCGACCTGTCTCGCTCTCTAGACGAGCAACAGGTGCCTCAAATCCTTCACGAGCGCACAACATGGAGAGTTCTCGTGTAGGTAGACTGAATTCGAACATGGTAGAAACGTCGACTTGTCGAGCAAGGACGTGAGCTTTGACGAAATCGCGAGCGGCGTCTTGACCAGAGTGGGTGTAAACAGCACCAACAACGGCTTGGACAAATGAAGAGTACGCCTCGTGTTGGTAATACTTATAGCCCTCCTCGCTGCTCATCTTCTCGGCGTTCACAGGATCACCAAAAGCATTGTCGTAGACTACACGACTGCTGATTCCTCGTCGGGGTTTAAATCGGTCGGTAAAAGCAGACTCTTGACGAACAGAACCCCAGCGTGACTGCATATCCGCATCACGGGGTGCCCATTGTAATAGACCAGGATCAACCTCCTCACCGGGAGCAGCAGCGGCCTCAACACCCCATCTACGAGCCACTTGATGCAGAGATTCCTTCCCAGAATAAGCACGGAGGGCCTCGTAGAGGACGGTCATTGGTAGACGAGGCCATTTACAGACGAGGAACTCGAGGACGTGATAATTGATGAATGTGCTGCCGAGGAAGGCGAGGTTGGCGTTGTTGAAACTGGGGTTTTTGTCGGCTGAGGGAACGATGAGAGCCCGGGCGAGAGTTTCCAGAGGGATCTTGTTAGAGAGGGATAACCGGGAGTGGAGAGCTGCAAGCTTAGCCGACTCAGCGGCACGTTCGGGGGAGGGAGATGGGAGATTGGTGAATGTAGGTGTTTCTTCGTTGATTTGAGAAGCGGCAGCTGTAGAAGCTTGACGTCGAGTCGTTTGTAGAAATGCCGGTCTTGAGATACCGCTGCCGATACCGCGGGCATGGGCCTGCAGCAATTGGCCGCCCCATCGATCGATCCGTGCCCTCTTCATCGAGCCCAGTAGATTCCCTCTCGAATATCCCGTCGGTTTGTGAAAGGCGTCGATGAGGCGACGAAGCGAATTGGGGATTGTCGCCTGTTTTTGGGTCGTCGACGGGTAAAAAGTTCTGCGCTACGAGGCTAGAGAGTCGTGTGAGCTGGGGTGTTTGGTTTGTCCGGAACAACAGGCGGCCCGGCCTTCGTTTCTCCCATCTAGCCTTGGAAGCTTGGGACCTCACCTGTTGGTAACCGGACACTTGACATCAATTCAACGTCGCCATCGCCCTCCCAAAACCTCTCCTTTACGTCCGTTGATTAATTGTTCAAAATGGTGAGTGAAGTCTACAAACTGGAGTGAGTCTAAGCTAACAATTGACCTAGGGCGGCGGCGGAAAAGTTCCGTAAGTTTTACCTCTCACGAACCTAGCACCGAAAGCGAAGCGATGACCATATCTAACCCACCCTGCGACAGTTACCCCAAGCACGTCTGGTCTCCAGCCGGTGGTTGGTACGCGCAGCCTGCGAACTGGCGCGCCAACACCCTGATTGCTGGTGTCGTCATGGCCGGAATCGTTGCGGTTACGTGGAAGTTCAGCGCTGGACGAGAACAATGGGCGCACCGACCTGAGCAGGGGCAGTGGTACGCTAGCCGACAGTATGCTATCCAGTTCCATATTGGCGAGATTCTGAGCGAACGTGCTAACAATGGGGATTTAGCTGGTCGAAACAGTTGAAGCAGTGGGATGAAGAGGATAAGGGAAATGCGTCAAAGAGCGAATAGAGTTGGATAAAACGACACTTTGTACAAATTTCTGCGACAAGACGAATACAATCTGATTCAAGATCAATATCCAGTGTCTATGATGTTGTGATGATGAGGGTCGCTAATATTCCATTTCACGAAGCTCCCTAGAACATCTCGACTAGGATCAAAAGTGATGAGAAGCCGAATTTCGACCCAAGAAGTCTCTAGTTTGTTCTTCGGTTTACCAACATGCTGCTTCCCAGACCAGAGGGTTCTCAAGTGGGTGTTAATGCTCGTTCCTGAGAGCAAATCAGAGCACTGCTAAATCTGCTTATGAGAATCAATATTGCCGTCTAGTTCCCGAGAAGCAGACTCATACTGGTGGTATCTCGACGGGCTTTATGATGAACGAAAAGCGCTTCAAAATTGGGATAAACTCATTCACATTTGGAATTTCCAAATGCCTTACGTAGTATGTCTTCCGTTATGCTAGACGAGAAGGACAGTTAGCCGAACATAAAATATCGGACCTATTCTCTTCACAACACACTTTAAGGTATGCTGGGAAGATGTGCATACGGCGTACGGAGTAATAGGCCATTATTTAAGTCTCGTCCTCTTGAAGTGAGTTGGGACTAAATCCACATTGCTGGAACAGGTTTCACACAAAGCATCAGACGACTGCAGATAGTGATCCGTTACAGCCGAGCCGACGTGACAATCCTACCAGAGCGACCAAGACAAGGGCGACGATAAGGACTCACTAGCACACCCTACACACGATCAAGCTCGTCTGAATATGTTAAAGGCACTAACTGAGACGGTCTCAGAAGACAATGCTTATAACAAAACACCTAATTGAGCTTGGACCATATATTTGTTTTCAAGGACCTTGGTGCTAAGCATAAGGGAAGTAATGGCAAATGTATGTAACTTGATAAAACATGATGCAGCACTACTACCTCGTTAAATGTAATTCAGACATAGCTCAGTAATTCAGTCCCGTCCAGTCTGCCTTGGATACTGACTGCCTGATACTACATAGGACAACCAATAACAGAAGCACCATGGACAAGTCGGCTGTGAATCATTGGCTATCGGTTCTCTCCAAGACGAACTGTTGCATGTTCAAAGACACGCCAACTCAGCCCGGTCTGCCAACTTAGACAGTCAGGTACTAAATATCAGGTCCAGGGGTACTTGGGGGCACCAGGATTAAACTGCCTGAGTCCACTTTAAGCCGCTGCCACTGAGGTCACTACCGGCTCTAGGCCCAGGTATCTTTCTACAGTCAGTTGGAGAGGACCCTTGTACAACCTACATGAGGGTGCTCCGCTGCTTATGCTTATTGAGGCTCCAAGGCTGTTTTGCGTTGTTGGTCAAGGCAATTTCCCCTCTTTAGTATTGATCGATTTGGTAGTATTTGATTGTTTCAAGTTGCTTGATTGAATATTGATTTCAAGCCGACTTCCCCCCCCTTTCCTCTCTTTACTAATGTTGTCTCTATTACGTGCGGAAACCTGAGGCTGTTGGCCATCTTTCAGCTGCTCCGATCTTCTTCCGCGGGTATCGATCGTGTTCCAGAGGCTTGAACCACTGGGCTGCTCTGCGCTGTCTCTGCCTTAAACCTTCAACTTCACCTACAATCGTTACCTACCACCTACCTTGACTTACCCTACCTAGATTATTTCTCGCTTCATACCGCTTTTGATCTTACGTGCACTGACTGTCAGTGTCTATTCTAACTCAGCTCGTCATTGGCTTGGTACTGCATCACCGTTGTTCTTTGCCCAGTTTGCGGGTCGCTTCTTAAGTTATTCGCCACCAGCCTAAGAGCTAGACTAAACGTCAACCAACGGATAGCATACCACACCACCTTGCATCGATCAGATCTATCTCTTCGTCTTGATAACCTCGTTTGGCTCTTATTCCTGAATCGAGCCGGACCATTTCCTCCTTATTTATTACTTCTCTATTAATCCTCCATACGACCGACCCTTCACCACTCAACCTGTGTTACTAATCTCAACACCCGTTGATCTCACGCAGACCTTCTCACACTTGGTCTCCTACATCACCCAACCTCGGTCTTTCGCCTCAACGACATCTTGAACTATCTTTCACTCTGGCTTCGCGCGCCTTTCGCCTCGCCGGCCTTGCTGTCGGCCTTGGTTTGAGTGCCTTGACTGCGTACCAACGCAGCCAAGCGCAGCAGATGTCTTCTCATGCCCAGAGGCATGGTCACCTCGACGCGACCGCAGGTCGTGAGGTAGTCTATTGCCACGCCTGCGCCGGAGAATGGTATCGAGATGAGAACGGACTAACTTGTCCCGAATGTCACGGCGAGATCACAGAGATTGTATGCTTTCCCACGCTGCTACTTCCTATCCAGAATGCTAACCACTATGTCCAGATCGATCCCGCCAACGACCCCCGCGCCTTGGATCACCGCTCCTCTGCCTCCACCTCACCCGAGCATCACCCATACGATTCAGATCCTGAAGAAGCCGACATAGATGAGCATACCCAGCATGGCTTTGTGTTCCGACGGAGCGTCCGAGACGGTCCGAACCATACACATCATCACGATCCCGCTACTGCGCCAACTTATGAGCGCTTCTGGGATATGCTTAACGGATTTGGACCTCGAGCACCCGGTGGCAACGGTTCTTTCCCACCGAGCCCAGGAGAACATGAACAGTCCCAAGAACCAAACTTTGGACCGCGCATTCACCGGACGACTTTCACGTCCGGGCCACTAGGCGGAACGACTTCTGTAACAATCGTCTCGGGACCTATCCATGCAACAAGCCGTGGTCCCGCTGGTGCCCCAGGAGGCGAAACATTTCAAGAGTATGCACAACCCCCGTTTCAGCTTGCTGAACGACCTGGCGGCTTGCGAGTCACGGCCATTTCCATGACTATTGGAGCTAACCAGCGTACCAGTTTCTTTCAGAACATGCTACGCGACATTGTCCCGCCACCACCCGCTCATAATCATGACGGCGAGGAAGGCGCCGGAGGTCCTCCACCCGGCCTGGCTCGAAGCCTGCAAGATATCCTGAATCTCCTTAATCCAGCAAATGCAATGCATGGTGATGCAGTGTACTCCCAAGAGGCTCTGGATCGGATCATCACAGGACTCATGGAGGCCAATCCCCAGTCCAACGCCGCTCCTCCAGCTACAGAGGAAGCTCTTAAAAACCTGGAACGAAAACCTGTCGACAAACTAATGTTGGGCTTGGAGGGAAAGGCAGAGTGTACCATTTGCATCGATGAGATGAAGGAGGGGGATATGGCCACATTTTTACCTTGTAATCACTGGTTTCACGAGGAGTGTGTCACCTTGTGGTTAAAGGAGCACAACACTTGCCCCATCTGCCGAACGCCGATCGAAAAGACCGATCGCAGTGGCAACAATAATGGCGGCAATGGAAACAACAATAACAACAATAATAGCGGTGACGGCTCCCGATCCCAAGGTCCAATGCCAGGGCCTAACTCTGACCAACCGAATCCGTTTGGAACTCGAGCGTCATTCACGTTTACTCCCAATCAGTGGACACCATTCGACAACCCTCATTCTCACACACGCCCGATGCGGTTCTCGCGACCTCCAAGTCAGAGCCAGAGTCGCTTGAATGAAGCGTTGCGTACTATCTCGAACCGGCAACAAGAGAGAGAACGTGAACGTGAGCGTGAACGAGGCGAGACATCGGGGTTTAGCTACGACACGTCTCGACTTCAGCGACGAAGCTCACACTCTCCAACAAGTCCTAGAGCGACTGCCCCGAGTGAACATGGCGCTCGTATGAGACAGAGAAGCCCTTCCCAGAGTAGTCGTCGGTCAGCGGCGGACTCGGATCAGCAACGACGACAGAGCAGCCATGGCCCCATTAGCTGGCTCCGCGATAGATTTGGTGGAGGAGGGCCCGGTAACGGACCGCCACGAGAGGAAAGGCGACAGTAGAATCGTCACGCACCAGACTCTGGGGGAATCGCTTTAAGGATGATATCAGAAGTCCTGATTCCTCGTCGTTCGCTCGCAAGGTGGCATGAAGACAATGAGAGGTCTTAGAGGCAGACCTTGGTGAGAGAACGTATTGCTATCGTACCACCTCGATACACAACGTGCAGTGACTGCAACCAAGTGCCAATTTCTTTACGTATGCGCTTCGATGTACGGAATAGAATAGAGGTCTAGTTGGTAGGGCACACGGGAGTGATTGGAATTGAGCTACCAGCGGCATTGCTAATTACATAAATGGACGTCAGGGATACCCCATAAGAATGAAGACTGATGTTGAGTGCTTTTCCTGTGAGCTCGACCCATGTTGGTTGTGTCAATGGATATCAAACGATTGCCTTCTAGACAACGGCTGTTGAATGTGCCAATGGACATAGCCTCCTGTAAGGTAATGCTCATGTGCTCAAGTCTATTGGTTGGTTGTTGAGATGCCAAACAAGTCTTGCAAGAGCCGAACTTACATCAACCTTTGACTATTGAGCTATCAATGAAATATAGACGCCCCACTGATAATTACACATTGAAAATAGGGCAGCTTCTTGTAATTTCAATGCATGATCAAGGTGATAACTCAGGACAAGACATGTTCGATCCCGAGAAAAAAGTAATGTATTTGACTATCTCGCTGCATGAATCCAGAAATTTCAGATCGCTCTTACGCAGGCTGCTACTGACTCAATCTCCCCATCTCTTGGTAGAATCTTTGGTCTCCCTTATCGACTCTTTTGCTGGTCAGGCTTCCTATTTTGTCTCGCCGCCAAAGCCCTTGGGTTTTGTGGAGGGCCAGTCTGGGTCCTCGGGTGGCTTCTTTGGTTTCGCAGATCTCATGTTTATTTTCAGGTGGGACTGGTTTGTTTCCTTTTTGGTAATTTGAGCAACATTTGCCCAACTCGGCCCTGGTTTCTTGTCCGGCTTCTTCTCCTGATCCTGGTCTAAAGGGGGAGATGGATCATGAGATTGGATTTTGGGTGAGACGGGTGGGTTTTGATCTAAACCAGTCTCGTGGATCTCTTCGTCCACAGGAGGTCGTGCGACAACATCGGGTGTTGGAGCCGCCACCGGTGCTGAAGTGCCTCCTCGGACTGAGTGTGCTGGTTCAGGAGAATTGCTGCCTCCACGTGACGTAGTCTTTTGAAGGGGTGGGGAAAGCGACTGCCTCTTTTTCGGACACCCTGTGTCTTCAGATGCGTGTCTCTTTCTGGGGGACTGTGTTTCTTGAGATGCATATCTCTCTTCAGATCCATGGCCCTCCCCTGGAGACTGTGTTTCCTCTGATGCGCGTCCCTCTTCTGGGGGCTGTATCTCTTCAGATGCGTGTCCCCCTTCTGGAGGCCGTGTGTTTGACCAAGAGCCTGGGGCACCTCCCGATGACCGAGGCAAAAAGGCAACCCTTGGGGAGGAAGCTGGGGGCTGAAATTCTGAGGCTTGAGGGTTCAAAGGAGATGATGCCGGTCCTGATTCCTAATTATTCTGGGGAGAGTCGTTGCCGTTCCGCCATGTTGTATTACACTGTTGATGTAAACAACTGTATTAAACTCAAGAGCTACATATGTGAGATAAAACTTACGGCTGCGCAGAATTGAGGCCCGATCAATCCCGCTATAGACCCGGATGGATCACAGAGGGGGCAGTTGCTCATGACGGGTTCGCCAATTGTCGAGGTCTCGGGAAGTGAGGGAAAACTCAAAGGCTAATAAATAGTATACAACGAGCGGATGGGTTGGTCTGTGATTCAAGACGGAGCATTTCAATAAAGATGGAATGCTTTAGCCAATATGGTGATAACGAAAGTTGGGATGATAACCACGATGATGTTGATGATGATAATGTTGTTGATGATGATGATAATGTTGTTGATGATGATGATAATGTTGTTGATGATGATGATGTTGACGTTGGTCGAAGGAGGAAAGATAGTTTAGGACATACTGTAGAATTTATCAATTTTCAGCCAACTCTCTGAGTTTCTGAGAGGGAAAGCATTAACCAGCCAAATGACAAAAGAATGGCTCTGATGTTTGCAGGGTAGGGAGCAGTCACTTCTCAGCTGCCTCCTTTACCTAGGTACTACCTTAAGGTACCTAGGTGTTTGCCTTGTAGCAATACCTATACATGTTTGTCAAGGCAGCCATAGCTCAAGAGGTAAGGGGGACAGCTCCTTAGATTCCCTTTTCTAAATTTGCAATCCACCTGTATCTTGAGACAAGCTCATCAGTGCATTGATGTTAGAAGTGCCTGGTCACGGAAAGGGATCTACATAGTATCCAGTCTCGGAGTCTCGTTGTGCGGCAACTTGGAAGTTTTACAACTACGTTTTTGTTATTGACGCCACGATACAAACTTGCCCTCGCTTGCGTCTTTCGAAAAGAAGTTCTGGAACGTTGCACCAGACATGGGGCTTCAAGTTGGCGGACGATTGCGTTTATACCAAGTTTGTGGCGTAACGGTTAATAATGGAAGATGCCGAGGTGATGGGGTTTCGAGAAAGAATGGGTGCTCAGCGTATAGGTGAGTGAAATAGGCATCCAGAATAGACCAACGGGCCGGATAAGACCGTGGCAGAATAATAATACTGAAGTGCTTAATGTGCACATACATTTCCCCCGGCCCTGGTCACTGACACTCTCAACATGGCGTCCCACCTGCTAATTGCTGCTGCTGTGACCAATGGCTGTTGAGAATAGTATACTTCAGGTTACGGTTTTGTGACCGATTTCCCCAATGTCAAAAATTAAGTTTACAGGATACAAGAGTTTACGGATAACTAGGAAGATAAAGATGTGAGCCGATGTGACCTAAGATCAAAGATCAGAGGCAGGGGTATAACTTTAAAAGTCTCGACCTCGCCGACTACACACGGAAGATGGAAAGGTCTTCCGGGAGCCTTGTAACAATACGATTATCCAACTACTCCCCATGGAACATAATACCAACGGCCGTGGCTATAACAGCTCCGGGCTAACGTCCTGATGTTGGCAAATTCTGCTGCCGCTGCCACCCATCCAAGCCATCATATTGTGAGGTTTCATGGTCTAACGGTTATGACTGCGGATTCTGATTCCGCCAGCGAGGGTTCGACTCCCTCTGAGACCTATTCTTTTGCTCTTGATGATGGCCTGAGCTTTTGCTAGAAGCCATCATCATCATCATCACCACCAAGGGAGAGCCGTTAGTGCTGACCATGCAAGGCGCAGCATCCGTCCAGAAGCACACTCGACGAAATAGTCCAGGAATACCTACGTACTGCAGGAACGGGCTTTTCGGTGGTAAATAAACGCCGTTCAGGGTGCCAAGACGGTGGGGAGAAGTGATCGACACGCCGACTGTCCGCTTGCCGTAGGACAAGATGTATATGCAAACACCAATCGGGGGACCCGTGAGCGTCGTATTCTGTTGCAATTTCGCATATCCCCTGAAACTAATACTGTTAACTTATTCATTATTCCTCCATAATAAGGGAATTCGGATGATTAAATCAGGCCGTCTCACCGCCTCGGGATTCGGATCCGGTGCGGGAAGAGTGGGGCACCGGACACGGCCGAGAATTTGATGGAGATGCCGAGGCATAAGAAAGCATGAGAGATCGACAGCAGACAATAGATAGAAAAGAAAGAAACAAAGAAATAGTTTAGCTAATACTCTAGTTGGTAAACAAAGAACTATAGTGATTTAGGCAGTTCAATAAAACGCAATGTTATGAAATAAACGTACGACTTATGGTTCATGGCTAGATCCGTCTGTAGGGCTCGTTCTTGTTCAGTTACAGATGCAGATGCAGATGCAATTCCGCCCAGACTACCTAACTTGAACAGGTTCTTGGCGAGTCTAATCTAATGCGTCTCCAGCGATTGGCTTACGTTCACGGCACTTGGCACAAACGGGGTCGGGTTTTGAAGAAACGGAGACGGACAGGCGGGAGACGGGAGATTCTGTTCTGTTAGTCTTGGTTGAGTGAGCCTCTCTAGTAATAAAGCCGTAGCAATTGCATACGACGCGTTGCTATGACGTTGTGAGGCGAGCAGAAAAGGAGTCTGTGTCGTATTGAACCATCGGCTTTTCAACCTTTTGCCTATTTAATCATTTCCAGTTCCATTCGTTCTGCTCTGCTGCTTATTCTGAACCAAAGAAAAGGTGGTCAAGAAACTTTCCACCATTGCAACGCCAAGTTCAATCCGGACTCCAGCTCAGCTCCTTCGCTCATATCACATTGTTCACAACTATAAGAGCGAAGAACCACGACCCATTCAACACATCTCCACCTTCTCCTCACCAGACCAGACCAGACCAAACCAGACGCGACACAGCACAGCACAGCACAACACAACACAACACAACACAACGCAACGCAAATACAGCATGGCTGAATCTGTGCCTATCCCTGAGCCTCCTGGCTACCCTCTAATTGGAAACCTGGGAGAATTCACATCAAATCCTCTCTCTGATCTGAACCGTCTAGCAGATACATACGGTAACTAATTGATCACAGTCAACTAACTCATTGACCACCGCTGATTCCCCTCAGGCCCCATTTTCAGATTACGTCTTGGAGCCAAGGCTCCCATTTTCGTCTCTTCCAATTCATTGATCAACGAAGTTTGTGACGAGAAGCGGTTTAAAAAGACCCTAAAGTCGGTTCTCAGCGTACGCAGCAGAAATCTCAGCAATTGAGCTTCACTGACCCTTGACAGCAAGTTCGAGAAGGTGTTCACGATGGCCTGTTCACAGCATTCGAGGATGAGCCCAATTGGGGCAAAGCACACAGGATTCTAGTACCGGCTTTTGGCCCTTTGAGCATAAGAGGAATGTTTCCAGAAATGCACGACATCGCTACCCAATTGTGCATGAAGTTTGCTCGTCATGGTCCTCGGACACCAATTGATGCTAGCGATAACTTTACCCGTCTAGGTACGCAAAACATTGAGTCTTCAACACGCTCATCGCTAACAATTGTCAGCCCTGGATACTCTGGCTCTCTGCGCCATGGATTTCCGCTTCAACTCATATTACAAAGAGGAACTGCACCCATTTATCGAAGCCATGGGCGATTTCCTTACAGAGTCAGGAAACAGAAACCGACGACCTCCATTTGCGCCCAACTTCCTCTATCGTGCAGCAAACGAAAAGTTCTATAATGACATTGCATTGATGAAGTCAGTAGCCGATGAAGTCGTCGCCGCACGAAAGGCAAGCCCCAGCGATAGGAAGGATCTGCTCGCTGCTATGCTCAACGGGGTAGATCCTCAGACGGGAGAGAAGTTGTCCGACGAGAACATCACCAACCAGCTCATCACATTCCTCATCGCTGGCCACGAAACCACTTCTGGCACTCTATCTTTCGCCATGTATCAGCTTCTTAAGAACCCCGAAGCCTACAGCAAGGTCCAGAAAGAAGTCGACGAAGTTGTCGGCCGTGGTCCCGTCTTGGTTGAGCATCTCACCAAGCTCCCCTACATAAGCGCTGTTTTGAGAGAGACCCTCCGAATCAACTCCCCTATTAGTGCCTTTGGTCTCGAGGCCATCGAAGATACCTTCCTTGGGGGCAAGTATCTCGTCAAGAAGGGCGAAATCGTCACTGCTCTTCTGTCTAGGGGCCACGTTGACCCTGCCGTATATGGCAATGATGCTGACAAGTTCATACCCGAGCGAATGCTTGATGATGAATTCGCGAGACTTAACAAGGAATTCCCCAACTGCTGGAAGCCTTTTGGAAATGGAAAGCGAGCTTGTATCGGACGTCCTTTTGCTTGGCAAGAGTCTCTTCTCGCCATGGTCGTTCTCTTCCAGAACTTCAATTTCACCATGACGGATCCCAACTACGCTTTGGAGATTCAGCAGACGCTGACTATTAAGCCTGTACACTTCTATATCAACGCTACCCTACGACATGGCATGACCCCAACCGAGCTAGAGCATGTTCTGGCAGGAAGCGGAGGTACCAGCTCTTCAAGTCACAACATCAAATCCGCTGCGAATTCAGATGTCAAGGCCGGCAGTGGAAAGCCTATGGCTATTTTCTACGGTTCAAACAGTGGCACATGCGAGGCTCTCGCCAACAGGCTGGCCTCGGATGCTCCTAGCCACGGCTTCAGCGCAACCACTGTTGGTCCTCTCGATCAGGCCAAGCAGAGCCTTCCTGAAGACCGTCCCGTTGTCATAGTCACTGCATCATACGAAGGACAACCACCTTCCAACGCTGCCCACTTCATTAAGTGGATGGAGAATTTGGATGGCAACGAGATGGAAAAGGTGTCGTACGCTGTTTTTGCGTGTGGTCATCACGACTGGGTTGAGACATTCCACAGAATCCCCAAACTTGTTGACTCTACTCTTGAGAAGCGTGGCGGTACTCGCCTCGTTCCCATGGGTAGCGCAGACGCTGCCACAAGTGACATGTTCAGCGACTTTGAAGCTTGGGAGGATACTGTCCTCTGGCCAGGGCTGAAGGAGAAATACAAGATCTCTGATGAAGAGTCAGGCGGCCAGAAGGGCCTGTTGGTCGAGGTTTCAACGCCACGAAAGACGAGTCTCCGTCAAGATGTCGAAGAAGCGTTGGTAGTTGCTGAGAAGACTCTTACCAAATCGGGCCCTGCTAAGAAGCATATTGAGATTCAGCTTCCCTCGGCCATGACCTACAAGGCT